CCGAGGGCCACTCTAAAAAAAGAACCAGAGGCAAGAGGTCAAGACCGGTGGTGGTGGTGGGGTGGGGGGTGGTGTGTGTGTGTGTGTGTGTGTGGGGGGGGGGGGTGCTGTTGTATGTTAGGCGGGGAGGGGTGTGGATGCTGCTGCTTACAATACAAAGAAGGGCAACGCCTTTCCCTTCCCCTCTGGCTCGGCTGTGTGACGGGGGGCAGGGGGAGGGGATTCTGGGGCCACAAAGAGGGGGCCTGTAGGCCGCACATAGCCCACAGGCCGCCTATTGAGGTCGGCTGCTATAGACACTAGACACACCTGCAGAGAAACCTTACACGCGCAAGCGCATTTACACCCACACGGTGCTCTCACAAGTGGACTCGGGTGTTTTTGACGCATTACGTTGGGCTGTGGTTGGCACTAAATGTACCATGGAATGGTTATTACCATGTGCTTTTCAGCAAAAATTGTTACTGTTAAGTATCCTTATGCTATTTGCCAAAGAGATTTTTTTGGTTCTGTTCAACTTTTGTGTCCTTTTTTCTCTCTCTCGGTTTCTGCAGGTCTAGAAGCTGATTCTTGTACATCCTTTATTGTTTACTTTTGTGAACCTCCACACCTTATCCTTTACTTTACCTCTCTTTCATTTTCATTTCTGTGTCTGTTGGGATTGAAAACTACCAAAAGCATTTCTAACAAAGTTTGTATATCAGGCAGGACATTACAGCTTAGTCTATAATGCTCCACCTGTGAGAGTAAAACTGTAAGGCTGTTTTTGGCACTTGGACATCAATTCTGATTGTTTTTCAGCCGGACAGAACATGAGAGGGAAATGTAAAAACAATCCATGGGCAAAGACTCTTTAAGATGAAAACCCCTCATGATTATTACACCACAGATACCTGGACAATAGCACTGATTCACCACCATTGCAGCATGTCGGAAACCTTTCATTTCTGCCAATAATCAGAGCAATCTGTGGTTTTGTAAGCAGCAGAGTGGCGACTCATCCATACATATTTATTTTTACCTGCCCCTTGTCCACAAATCCACTGAAGTTTCTGTGATTTAAAGAGTCTGTGCCATAGATGTATTAGAAGATTCAGTGTCTCATGTGCTCCTCGCGTTACCAGTAATAAATCATTTCCCCCCATGTTCTCTCTTATGGTGACAAAACCAATAACAGTTTATCCAGGGAGCAAGACCAAAGACCACTCATTCAGCTTATGGCCTCATTCTGTACAGAGAACTTCCACACATTTATCACAGCAAATATGTCATATATACTGTGACTTGCTGAAAAAAGTACTTTGTCTGAAAAGAAGCAAAACACCATTGTTTGCATCCTAACTGTAAGTATCATTGACATGTAAATTGGAATAACCAGCATCATTGATGTTATCCCTGTGGATACCTTTGTCCCTGGTAGGGTGGTGAAGCTCAACTTTCATAGCCTGTATTCAGACTTTGAGTCCAGATCAAGTGAGGTTTCTATCCTTCTGGAGCTTGTTTTAGGGTTACCAGCATTACTGTTTGACAGGTGTGTTACCTTCCCTACCGGCCACTGTCCCCAGAGCAGGTCACATCCAGCAAGTGACGATCTCACTGGATGAGGGAAAAAGCAAAACAAAAATAAAAAAATAAACATGTATTTGTTACACTCAGACTGAAGATGAAAGTACAATTAGAAAGTAGCAGAATTATTTATTAGTTTTTTGTTAACATTAGTCTTACACTTATATTTATTCTCATCAAAGCTGCTATTATTTCAATTTTTGCAAAATATGCACATTAAATCCAATCCATCTTTGAAAGTTTTAACCACGCCTCCCTCTTAGAAAAACAAACAAATGACAGTCAGTAATCAGGAAGTATTTATTTTTCCTTACTAAGTTATGCTTCAACAAGCTAATTTCCCATTAGAGATTATTGTAGCCCCATCCATTTCTAATCTGAAGTACTTTTAAAACAATGCACTCCAAAACCCTTAAACTGCTGTCCACTAAAGCAATTATGTCTCAACTTTTGAGGAAAGCACAAATAGAGTTTAAACCCGCAGATTCTAACCTTTATGTCTTTCAGTACATTTTCTAATTTATTGTAGTATTGTTTTGAATGATGCAACACTTGGATTCAAGATCCACCTGTTCTGGATCAGTCTGAACTAAATGACATTGCAGCTTGAAACAAATGGAAAAGGAGAGACATGAATTCACAGAGTGGTGGGCTTCATTAGTCAAATGAGCCACCTGAACTTTGGGATGACTTCTGAACAAAACGAGCAAGTGCAGATTCCTCCTTGCTTAAAAGAATCCAAGTCACTTGTGAGAGCAATAGCACCTTGTTAGAATGAACCTCATCAAAGTTGCCTTTGAAGTAATAGCTGACAGAAACCATTATGTGAAGTCGACCTGACAGGTCTATGAAAAACACAACTCTGGAAGAGGAAAGTTAGGAAGCAGTCAGGTCTCTCTGCTCTTTTATAAATTTACCCCCCGTGCAGCCAGCATTTACAACAAACAAAAAAGCTGTCAGGGATTTTATTAAAGGGACAAGGTGGAGTTTTTATCGGTAATCTCTGGAAAAATCCATTGAAATATGGATGAAAATGAATTAGATGATGCCCAGTTGTTGAAACATATTGGTGGCTTCATAGCATTTAACCATAAAAATCAGGTCTAAAATACATGGGTATCTGAGTCTCTGGGCGACACCATATTAGACACCATGTTTCCTTCTACGGGAGCCCGTGAGGACAAAATGTATTTACTGATTATTAACAAACGTTTACAAAACTTTCAACATTTCTAAATGTTATTTTACACATTTACCTCTTCGCTTGTTGCCAGTGCTGAAAGGGAGTCTGATGTGCTTGCCATTTTGCTGGAGGTTGTGCTCCCAGGGATGTTTGACCCTAATGGGCATTCCTTGGTAAGGTTTCAAACACAAAAATACTGCTTACTTGTGATGATTTGTATATGAACTTCCCCTATCACCAGGAAAAATACACATTGTTCTTTTAAAACATCTAAATGGTCGAAATTGCTCCAAAAAAGGAAACGTTTTTCTAATCTTGTTACAGAATTTTGTTTTTGCTGATTTCTTTTTTTTTCAGTCGGTAACAACTTTGAATATTCTTTTTTTTTTTTTTTTTTGCTAGCTTATTTTCAGAGAATATGTAAGCTTTTACAGTTATTAGATCAATTATGACTAGTGATGTCCAATATTAGCGGTCTGGTATTGGCATTAAAATGTAACATCGGAAAATATCGATATCGGATATCGATATTACCCATTACATACCGTTACGCATTAGTCAGGATTATCTGAAGGAGAATGTCTTTTGGCTGCTGTTGGAGACAAATTAAACATGACTTATTTTTTTATTACTAGCTTAAATTGAAGTAGTTGCCATTTTGCACTGATAATCATCAATAAATCAATCAACATTGTCTGTTAGTTTATTTTAAAGATGAGGAAAGAAAAAAACACAATGATTCACGGATTACAAGTGGAATAACCAAAAGGTGTAGGTTGAAGCCTTGCTTTTTATGTCTACCCTATTTACAAAATCATTCTTATACTTAGAATGATAGGAAAAAAAATGAATAAAAAATAAAATTGTAACAATAATAATAATAATAATAATAATAATAATAATAATAATAATAATAATAATAATAATAACAATAATAATGAACAACAAAAATAAATCTGCTATTTTTTAAAATAAAATACATAAAAAATACTAAACATACATAAAAATCGCAAAAAATAACACCAATAGTCTTAACTTGTCAATGAATAATATTCATTCATATAAACAGACGGTTTCTATGAATATCAATACTTTCAAGTGTATATAAAACATTTTATTCACATCTCTGAAATACACTGGATCACTCCCAGTCATAGTTTTTAGACATCATCTTTTTGAAAGATTTAACTGTGTTGCATGCCCTGATTTCAATGTCTAAGTTATTCCATAGTTTTACTCCTTCTACTGAACAACTTTAACTCCTAACATTTGTTTTGACTTTCTGTTTTACAGATTGTCCTTCCCCTATTAGTTCATACTGTCTTTTTGACCTGCAACAGCCTCTGAACACAATCTGGAATTATTTTATTATATGTTTTAAAAACTACTTGTGCTGTTTGTAATTTGACCAAGTCTGTGCATTTGAGTATATTTAGTTTTACAAAAAGGGGTGTGTTGGTGCGTAATATTCAGAGTTTGTTATTATTCTTGTTGCTCTTTTCTGTAATAAAAATATGGGTTTTAAGTGAGTTTTAATGTTTAAAGCATTGCTGACGATATGGAGGTATGTGATGTTAGCAACCTCAATCTTTTATTATTATTATTTTTTTTATTAGGGAGACCCAGAATATATTGGTATTGGTTTGGAGTGGTATCGGAAATTAAGAGTTGGACAATATCATATATCAGTAAAAAAGCCAATATCGAGCAGCCCTACTTCTGTCATAGCAAAAGGACAGCATGCACATTTCCTCTGTTTTTTATAATCAGCGTTGTACCTTGTTGAAAAACATGAAAACATTATTCTCCTATAATAATTACTTTTAAAGATTAAACAAGTAAAAATGAGTAACTGTGTTTTCCAGCAGAGGACGTCTCCACTAGAAGCAGCGAATATAATAATAATGCACTGTCTAATATGTGAATGTTTATTAATGGTTATTTTTTCACCTCTTTTGTTGATTTTAAAATCACTAAAAATTTTATTACTACTGTTACTTTGTGCTCATGCTAACAGGATAATCATTCTCTAGAAAACTTTCAACTTTTTCTTGACTTTACCAACTAGACAGCTCACAGTTCATTCAGGCTCCACTGAAGGGAACGTAAATCAGATTTGTTTTTTATACCTGTTCCATCTGGGATTATGTTCATTTGTCAGCTTCTCCCTGGTGGGAACTTCCCGCAAAATGTCCAAAAAGAACTTCTCATCTTAACTTGAGTCACTGCTAATCAGTCGTTTCTCCCCCAGTGCCCTCCAGGTCTGAGTCCAATGAAAGATGGGACGGGGTGCTACGACCACCACATTGGCATCGACTGCTCTGATGGCTTCAATGGTGGATGTGAGCAGCTGTGCCTCCAACAGCTGGCCCCTCTAGAGGATGACCCGACACTCTACAACATCCAGATGTTTTGTGGGTAAGAAACAGCATAATCAGCCATTTATATCTATAATTAATGTAATTATTCAGTTCATAATATCGTCATATTGCAAACCTGTCACCATTAGCTTGACAAGCTGCCACACTTTTATCACATCAGCACTTAGAGAATATAAAAGGGTTTAACAAATTATCACGTTATCTAAAAACTTCTAAAACAGATTTTTTTTCCATCTTTTTTTTTTCAAATGAGCGACTTCAGTTTAGACAAAATTAACCCAAGACGTTGAATTAAGAGAGAAAAAAAACATATTGTAGTCAATCAGAACTTCTTTTTTTTTTTCAAAATGGGTTTTCTAGCACAGGACCTCTGTGATATTGAAAGTTGATCCTTGAGAATTATAGAATCCTTTTTTACTATTACATACATCTTGAATTTAAATGGTTTGCAGCCATTTTTTAAAGTCTTTGGTGAATAGCGCCACAGTTGTGATTGGGGTTGGGGATCGTTTGAAATGGAACATTTCCGGTTCTGGATCCAATTCCTCGTTTCAATTCATGAGTCGGAATCCAAAAACATGTTTTAAATGAGCCAGCTAACCACAGGTCTCACTTGATGAAATATTCTGTACTTCAACATGAACTTAATTCTATGAACAATAACACCTTAATATGGACAAAAATATGTTTTCAGGAACGAAAAAAAGAAAGGATTTTAAGCACAATCAGTGTGTTTGTTTCTAACCACAACCAAAGTATGGGAACTTAAAAAGATTCTGGGATGAGAGGCAAAACGTCTTCAACATAACCAAAAAAAGTCCAGCAGTTTTCAGCTAGAACTCTCAGAATGATGTCTGGGATGACTGAGGATCTACAACTGCGTGCTGCAGCAACGATTCAGTCAAAAGAGAGTCTGGAACCTAAAACCTCACCTCACACCGCCTGGAGTTGTTCTTTAAAACTTCTACTATATCTGCTGTATTGACGAGCCTCCTCCGCGCAGTATTTTTGCTGCAGCTTTACATCACTTCATTACTCTCATGGAGTAAAAGTTCGTCAGGCATGTTTGTTAACATTTTTGCCACTGTGTGTGTGTGTGTGTGTGTGTGTGTGTGTGTGTGTGTGTGTGTGTGTGTGTGTGTGTGTGTGTGTGTGTGTGTGTGTGTGTGTTGGTAAATGTGTATTAGCAGGACAATTCGTAGGAATACACACAACACTAGAGGGAGTGAGTGAGTGAGTGAGTGAGTGAGTGAGTGAGTGTGTGTGTGTGTGTGTGTGAGTGTGTGAGTGTGTGAGTGAGTGTGTGAGAGAGAGTGCTGGGGGGAGGGGGGTATAATCAGGTATGATCGGCTCTGGAAGGCGTTGATCAGAATTTGCAGGTCATGTTTTTTTTCACAGAGATCAGCCGCAAATTTGAATTATCAGTCAAAATTAGGAATCAAAATTGAAAAAGATTTGAACGATTCCAGGAAAAACCAACAGTTAGTCCCTGTTCCAATCGATTCTCGATGCCCAACCCTAGTTGTGATGGACTTTATACCAATCAGAAGAACCAAATAAGGTAAAGCCACCCTGAAACAGTTTGAGTATAATTGGCTCTAAACTAAAATCTGGTTAGTTTGATGAAGTTAGTGTTGCTTGCAGCTCAGAAAGCTCTCTGGGATAGAAACCATTAAAACTCAGACAGTCTGCAGAGACTTCCCTTTAAAGACAAAGTTCACTGAGAAAACATGTTATGCTTGTTATTTTTTAAACATGATGAGTCACTCTGAGTTTAAGGTGCAGGCTAAAAGTCTTCTACCTCTATTAGAAGCTGCGATTCTACCTCTGCATTAGCCGCAGGGAAGCACTCAGGTTAGAAAAGCCTAACAGATCTTCCTCAAACCAAAAATTAGCATTCATGGACTCAGCCATCTTGGTTCATATGTTGATATCATGTAGAAGCAAACCATTAGCATTAGCAACTTCACAACACAGCAGAACTACCTCAGGCTTGCGTTATTTGTGGAGATAAATCATCAACATTTCAAAGCAAACTGAGTCAGTGATAGTGACTTCGCTGTTAGCCAATCAGAGTTAAGATTTTAAAATATCCAGAGTTAAGACTCAAAAACCTGCTATCTTCTGCTCCCAAATCCTCTGGCTCACTTCTAATACCTGAAACAGGAGCACCAGATTTTTTTTCCTCACAGAAACTGACTCAATGTGTTCATTTATACTAGAGACTGAAAATGTGTTGAAAATATGAGTGAGCTTCCATGTAAATGACACCAAATCATCTCAGAGGCTTCTTTAAACCAAAGTGATTGCTACGCAGAAAGGACCTTTAGAAAATAACACTGAAGAGAAAGTTTTGGTTTGAGCGAGAAATCATTAGTCCTGATCTGTTGGTGACATGTTTTTGGAACAGACGAGTGGGTATGAAGGTCAAACTCACGTTGCACTTCTTTATATTTGACATTTGCAGATCAGTCACCTTGCAGTGACAGCAGTCTGAAGCCATCTGCCTTTTTTTTTCCTTTTATATTGACTTTGGAGGAAAACATATTAAAGTATCTAATGTTACACCGTGATTAGTTGTTCCACTTTTGCAGAGGTGTAATCAGTCACAGATTGATTCTCAAGGGTGATACTTTTCACAGATTGATATTTTTTGCACTTAGCAGCACCTTCTTGGCTGTTATTACACTGTATGGTTGGAAAATGTGAACAGCTACCAAGGTCAAACTTTAGGTTTTGCAGCATATTGTATAAAAAAGAAAAGTTTTTTTTTATCCTCACACCAACAGTTCTCATTAGCAGAACTTTTATAGTTATTTACCTCCAGCAAATTATTGTCATATTCAATCAGTTACCATAGTGTGTGTGCAGTGTTTATGCAATACAGTCTGCTGGTTCATTTACAACTTAAGAATACTATTACCGTATTTTCCGGACTATAAGTCGCAGTTTTTTTCATAGTCTGGCTGGTCCTGCGACTTATGAACCAAAGTGACTTATATACCAAATTATGCATACCGCGCTGCTGCAGGCCGGCTCCGACCCAGGAATGAGCTCCCCTTCCTGCTGGGAGGGTTTCAAACACCTCCATCACCTGCTGCAGCCTGTGGTGGGGTGCTGCGGGCCGGCTCCGGCCCAGGAATGACCTCTTCCCGCCCGCTGGGAGGGTTTGAAACACCTCCATCCTCTGCTGGAGACCGTTGCGCGCTGCTGCGCCTGAGTTGTTTATTCTGTTATTGTTACCGGTACTTGTCTTGCAATGTGAAATGCTTGGTCTCAGATTTTGTAAGAAAAATAATAAAATTTCCCCCCAAAATGCAACTTATATATGTTTTTTTCTTCTTCATTATACATTTTATAGCCGGAGCGACTTATACTCAGGAGTGAATTATACTCCGGAAAATACGGTAATTATTCTCTTGTACCATAATGCAGATCAGTGTAATCCTCCACTTTCCATCAGAGATTATCTTTAAAATATTCAGTTTTCAGGGGAGAATTTCTTCTATATCTTAAATCCAGAAAGATTATCCCGTCTTTAACATTTTACTCTTTTTCTTCAGACGCATTTCCCATGACTTGTATTTTACACATTCAAGTCAAAACAGTTTTTGTTTGTTGTTTTGTTTTCATTTTGCAGTTTTATCAGTTTGAACTGTTTTATAAAAAGCTATATTTTGTTGAAGTAATAACTCCACAGGGCACTTAAAGGTGTGCAGATTGAAGGTACATTAATTCCTTTAAAAGCTAATTAAAAAATAATCAAATATTTATTTTGAGGGGCGCAGCACTGGGTTTATGTTTACATCTGCCAATAAAGGGCATCATAGTGGCTTGTCAAACAGTCCATTCGGCACAGCGAGGCTGACAAATGGTGGACTTGGCAGCTGCTTCCGAGCCCGGAAGATGTCGTTACCCTTCTCAAAAGAGGAACGACCATAAAAGATCTAAAACCAAAGTGAGTTTAGGTGAAGCCTTCAACAGATGGACCCAAATAAAAAAATGTCACATATCGCCAGCAGAATCCCAACGGCTGGAAACCTTGTTCTACTGTAGCAACTACAACCTCTACACAAGACAAGAAAGAAAGAAAGAAAGAAAGAAAGAAAGAAAGAAAGAAAGAAAGAAAGAAAGAAAGAAAGAAAGAAAGAAAGAAAGAAAGAAAGAAAGAAAGAAAGAAAGAAAGAAAGAAAGAAAGAAAGAAAGAAAGAAAGAAAGAAAGAAAGAAAGAAAGAAAGAAAGAAAGCAAGCTTTTCCATAGCGCCTCTCAAGACAAAAATCACGAGGTGCTTCACAAAACTAAAAAAAAATTAAAGTTTAAAAAATATTTTTTTTAAATAATTCAAAATATGTTTGAAATGAGAAAAATATCTAAAGTGTGATAAAAAATATAAGGAAAGAGAGAGAGAAAACGAATAGGAAAGAGAAATTAGTGGATCCTGGGAAAGGCGGAATGAGTAGAAAGAGCAGAACAAGGAAAGGGTGACGTGGGTGTGTTTGGAGGACTTGGTCAGAAGCCGAGCACAGGCATTCTGAACCACCTGTAGACGGTTCAGGGAGGTTCTGCTCAGACACGAGAAAAGAGAGTTACAGTAGTCTAAGAGTGAGCAGAGGCGGAGCTGGCCTAAAAGGCGCCCTGTGCGAGATCCCCCGTGACCCCCCCCCCCCCCCCCCCACACACACACACACACACACACACACACACACACAAACACAAAAGAAAAAGAATTACACCTACAACTTTGCTTCAAATTGCATGGAGTGTATTATATATAACAACGTTTGCTAACTGAATACAACATCCAGCTCCTGGCCACCTTCTCACTACTTGTCAAAGTTCTACTGAAATAGTGATGATAACAACACCTGCCATCGCCTTCATTCCTGGGAAATATGAAAGTAGTTGGCACCTTGGTAGGTCCTCTTCGAACTAGCTCTGTGTGTATGCTGTCGGTAATTGGTGATGGCCACTTGGCTGGGTCATCATCACCTTCAATGGGACTCATTGGTTGATCGTTTTCAGGCTTCTCTATTGACAGAAAACAGAAGCATAACTCAACACATTGCTATGTGGACCATTTCACATATTCTATTAAAATACAATATGTGACATTCAAATTTCTCTAATGTTTGCAGGACACACACACACACACACTTGTGCAAAACTTACATGACGTATCTTGTTGGGGAGACGTGGCAGCTGGCTGTCCCTCATCAATTTCACATATACTGGTAGGTCTCTCTATTGACAGAAAATGGAAGCATAACTCACCACATTGCTATATGGAACAATTCCCATATTCTGTGAAAATACTATTTAAATGTCTATTGCTAAATGTTTGCTGGACACACACACATGTGCAAAACCCACCTAAAGTATCTTCCTGCTGAGATGTGGTGCCAGCAGACTGTCCCTCCTCAAGTTCAAATACTGGCCTACTGGTATGAGTAGTGGAGGTAGATGGCTGTTCCTCAGTGGCAGCTGATGTCATCCCAAAATATCTGTGTAGGGCTCCTGATGTTGCATAAAACAAACAATACAATCTTCATGTCACGCCTGTTGCTTAAGCATTTTAATTAACATCTTACAATGAGCATTTACAGTTTTCAGCAGTGGTGGAAAGAATTCTGAAAATCTGTACTCAAGTACAAGTACTGTTACATTGCTAAAATATTACTCATTTACAAGTAAAAGTACTGGTGTTAGAGAAATACTCAAGTAAAAGTACAAATTATTCATAAAAACCTCAGAGTATTATTTATTTTTAACGGCTGATGTCACCATCACTTCTCCAGACTGGGGCTGCCTGGAAATTGTGTTTTCCTTTACCAAAAGTTAAAACACCAACAATCTATTAATCATTAATAATTGATAAAATACAAAACAAGTGTTTTCCCTAATTTTTTTGTCATTTTAAGTTTTTATTTCCTTATTCAGCAAATGTCTCCGGCACACAAAGAACTAAATGACCAGAGGAGCCACAACTATTGATTAAATATCCATGAATCCATTTTAACTGGTTAAATTCTTCAACTATCCCACACTGCTTCAAGGTCACTGTGAGTTAACATAGCCGCAGTGTGCTGTGCAGCACACTTAACGCAACACGATGACATCATCGACTTGTACAGTGCTGAAAGGCGAGACAGTTTCAACTTTCAGCTAAAAAAGACCGCTCTAGCTATTATAGTTTTTATTTTATGGCAGTTTACAGTTTAAACGGGTTCTTACTAGCAGGGCACCTCCAGCGGCCCGCTGCCGCTCCGTTTTTCGTGGGGTAAATAATACGTAGCTCATTTCCCGAGTCCAAAAAGAAAGGCGAATGGCGCCGGCGCGAGACCTGCCGCCTGCCGTCAGTGTATTTCAGCAAAATTCTCAAAGACTCATTTTAATTTGATAGCGTTTGGTTATCAGCCTTTCGGTTTTCCCACTCTTAGCTTTTCATAAAAGCTCATTTGACAAAGAAAAAGCTAGCGGTTGGAAGTAGTTCTAAATACATGCAATGTAAGAAGCTAGCAAAAGACATTTGAAAGGATCATCGTAGCACCATGCAAAACGTACAGATTAGAGAGGTTAGTTAATCAATAAGTTGGGGGACAGGTGGGAAAAATACCAACTAAATAATAAAGAGATGCATACCTGCATCTTTTCCTCGTTTCTCCTCCTCTTCTTTTCTTTTTTTCCGAAATTGGGCACCAGATGGCTTCGACCGTTTCTTCTCCATTATGTTTGTGAGTGGTGATATGTGAAACGGTACCTGTATCTCTCCATCATCACTCTCCGAGATCCCTCCGCCCCCCACCTGATGAAGGGCGCTATAGAGCGCACTACAGAGGCACGGCGGACACAAGGGGGCGCAATAAAATCCCAATATAAACGCAAACAATGACTTTGTTGTGCTTTTATTACAGAAATATTATTATTATCATCACTCATCACTATTATTATTATGAAGAACATGTGATTTCTATGTTTTGTTGATGTATCGGTTGATGAAAAAAAAAAAAGGAAATTAAATGCCGCCCCCTCCAGACTGCCGCCCTGTTCGGCCGCACATGTTGCACATATCAAGCTCCGCCACTAAGCGTGAGGAGATGAAGGTGTGGAGAACTGTCTCAAGTTCAGAGCGTGACAGAATGGGACTCAGCTTAGCAATGTTCCTGAGATGGAAGAAGGAAGAGCGAACAAGAGAACTGACATGAGAATCCGGGGTGAGAGCTGGGTCAAAGGTCACACCAAGATTCCTGACAGAAGGTTTGGTGTGAGAAGCAAGCTGACCAAGAGAGTCTGTGACTTTGGGAACCAGCTTGTCTGGGGCACATATGAGGATCTGGACCAAGAATATTCCTAACCCTTTAAGTCAATCTGGTTCTAGTAAATTGTGAAGTCTGAGTTTTAAAATCCTGCATAAAACAATCCCACAAATATGTTGGGGTAATAGTTCTGTAGGGAATCAAACACAGTTTTCAATGACTTTTTAAACATCTAAAACTGAATGGCAAATAAGTGTTGATGCATAATTGGCCTTTACTGTCTTAGTGACTTAAAGTGCTTTGTTTTTATTTTGCACCTACGAAGACAAAACACTCCAAGTGTTTGGCTGCAACAGTGCTGACATTAGTTTGGTAAATCTGTTTCAGCTATTTATGTTTGTCTGTTAGAAAGCTGTGTGTGTGTGTGTGTGTGTGTGTGTGTGTGTGTGTGTGTGTGTGTGTGTGTGTGTGTGTGTGTGTGCGTGTGTATCCGTGCGTGCGTGCGTGTGTGTGTGTGTAGCCTAATTAGAGCCAACTGCTCTCATTAGGATTTAAAGTCAAGAAAACGTTGACTTTGCAGATCAGAGGTGGTAACACTTGATGCTTTTTTATAGCTGTCTGATCCTTCGTGAGGGTTTTAAACTCACTCACTTTATGATTTAAAGTGAACTGTTTCAGTCGTCATGTTGGGATAACTTCTTTTAAAATCAGGCATTGGGTTGTAAAATGTTTTGCGTTTCCATAAAGAACACAGATTAGTTTTATGCATAAATATGGCATAATGGAACAGAAATACTCACCTGTTTATGTGTTTATGTAAACAAAGAGAATGACAGGTTGTGCAATCCCACATTGCCTCCAGGTGCATTGAAGACTATAAGCGAGGTCCTGATGGGAGGTCGTGCCTGCCGTTGTCTGAAGCCTGCACTGAGGGCGTAGATTGTGGAGAAGCCTTGGATGTCCCTGCCAACCAGACTGTTTTTGGAGACCTATATTATGGATACAACAATCACACTAAAGAAAGCACCTCTGGACAGATCCTAAAGGCAACATTCAGGTAAACACACAAGTTGTTGGTCGAGCTGAGTCTGTGAAACATTGTTCTGCCATTTGATTCCCTGTGGGGAGGCCATTGTGAAGGATGTGGATGTTTGGCTCCTGCAGTGATAAATCTCTTTCAATCAGCATACTAAAGTGGCGTGATTGAAACAGACTGTGGAGGCAGATGGATAATGTTCACTATACGTGTCAGAGATTGGACAGTAGAGCTTTGTGACGCTAAATCTGTCAAGAAAAACCAGGTTCACGGAACATAAATGGATTCTATTTATTTTGAATTGAGAGGTATATGTTGAACACGATGCAGGCTTGGAGTTTGCATAAGGCATGCCAAGAATAAAATGCCCCTACTTTGTTTTCCCAATTGCAGGTATTTTCTATAAACATCCCCAACATCAGCTCTTCTTTTTCATTTGACTGCATTCTCGTTACAGAGTGTGTGTGCTCTTACCAACCAAAGCCAGGAGAACAAGGCCTCTAGAATGTATTTTTACAGTGTCATTTAACACAAAACCCATTGGATCAGTACTTTTAAACAAATAATTGTTTTAAGCAAATCTAAATACAGTGGGGCAAAAAAGTATTTATGGATTTTTTTTCACATTCTGTCTCTCACAGTTGAAGTGTACCTATGATGAAAATTACTGACCTCTGTCATCATTTTAAGTGGGAGAACTTGCAAAATCGGTGGCTGACTAAATACTTTTTTGCCCCACTGTATATATTATTCAATCTACTCACTAATGCTCACAAAATTCATGTAAAGTATAACATAGTAAAAAGTGTTGTGCTTGTGAACAAAACCCAGCTTAAAAATCTGGTGCACCTGTTTGAGGATGTAGACGTCATACCCGAGGAGAAGAAATCATGCCAGATAGTGGAATGAGATGGCAGGTTTTGGACTCTTATTTCCTGATGTTTGGACATCTTGCCTCTGATTGGATAACAGCAATGCAACTCTACCACTGGCTTTGTTTGCTTTGATGTTTTCTCTCCACAAATACCACAAGCCTGAAAGAGTTGTGTGTAAAAGAAGTTAATTTACATCTAATTAAGGACCCGTAAGACGTAAGATTCCATAGTAAATATGAAATCAACCTTACGGACCGTTGGGTTATTTAACCAGAAGATTTGAACTTTTTATTGCAGGGATTATGTAACACTTTGTATTAACTGAGAGACAAGAGAAGAGACAGTCCTTTAAAACATTTAAGCAGGTTTATTTCTAACAATTTAAACAATTTTCAACAAGACTAACTCTAACTCTAAGTGAAGAATGGATCTGGTGTAATGAGACGTGAGATGGATGGTGTATGTGTGAGTGATGTTGTAATCAGAACTCTCGTATCCGGAGAAGCAAGTCTGAATGATGTTGTGATGTTTTGCTTCTAGCTATGATCAGAGTTTGATCGGAGTTTCATAAACATGAGACGCCATTTTGTCGCTCTACACATACCCTTGATGAGACCTTCGTACAGATCCAGAATGCCAGGTCCTCGGACCCCCCTTTCAGTACGGGAGCCGGTGAAACAGCGTCAGCAGTACAACAGACTAGTCTTTGGATTGTCTCCAGGTAAAAAGCGACAGTTGGTTCACAGCGTCGGATGGACCCCCTTGGGTCAGTGAGTTCAGCTTTTATTCTGAAAGGAACCGTTGCTTGGTTGGTAAAATGCAACAGATTTCATCCAGCTTGTTGGTTCTTTGCTTAAAAGGGAAGTCCGGTGGCCGGTCCGATACTTCGCTTAGCATGCGGTGAACTCCAGTGAGATCTTAAGAACTGAACTTAAGATGGTGTGGGACTGGTTTTATTAATCTGGATGTTTTGAATTCTGGTCGAATCAAAGTTGGCAGACCACAGAGACTATGCCACGCTTCAGAAAGGAAGGTTCTGATTGGATCAGTGAAAGCAATGTGTCATGCGTTTACATTACGTGTAGTCAGCATGTCTAGTGCAGCTAGATTAAGTCATATTACTTATTAAAGCATATTAATCATAACATTGTTATTCCACAGATTGGTCAACATTATATTATTGACTAACACTTTGTTTGATTAGCGTTAGTAAAAATAGAGTTCTTTTATTTATTAAAAAGGCAAGAGTCGTTTCTTCAGTCTTCTCTTGAGCTGGAAATAAAGCAGTTCAGAAGTAGGGTTGTCACAGTATGAAAATTTAACCTCACGGTTATTGTGACCAAAATTATCACGGTTTTCGGTATTTTCGCGGTATTTTTTAAACGGTGTTGCATATGTTCAGAAAGCATTGATAGTCCTGTTCTACACAAACTGAAATCGTTTAGAAAAGGTTTAACAGTGTTTATTAAACCTAAAATAACACAAAGCCTTAGCAAAAGTGCAACTTTTCACAAGTAAAGGAACAAATAGCTTCTTTTTCTGGAACATGTTACAGTAGTCAGTGCAGGTTTAAATTATACAAATCCAAACATTCAAAACATAAACAATATGTAAACAAATCAAAGAAACACCACTTGTTTTCTCATATACTTGTTTTCTTCATTATCAAAATGAAAATCTAAAACTCCAGTCCACACTTGACTTGAGCACTGTACAAGTCAACCTTAAAAAATATGTATTTAAAATAAATAGCCACTTTAAACAAATTACTAAAATAACTACTACACTATGTAATCAAATCCAAATGTTCAAGTATAAATGGCATTGAATAAGTAAACAAATCAATGACAAGGAACTAATTGTATATTTCTCTTCATCATAAACAAATAAGATGCTTCATCCAGCAACAGGGTGTCCGTGACACGGTTTAAATGCTGGCAGAGGACGCTGCGGCTGCAGTACAGGTGCTGGCCAGTAAATTAGAATATCACCAAAAGGTTGAAAATATTTCAGTAATTCCATTCAAAACGTGAAACTTGTACATTATATTCATGCAATGCACACAGACCAATGTATTTCCAATGTTCATTACATTTAAATTTGATATTCATAAGTGACAACTAATGAAAACTCCAAATTTGGTATCTCAAAAAATTTGAATATTCTGAAAAGGCTGAATATAGAAGACACCTGCTGCCACTCTAATCAGCTGATTTACTCAAAACACCTGCAAAGGCCTTTAAAAGGTCCCTCAGTCTTGTTTTGAAGGCACCACAATCATGGGGAAGACTTCTGACTTAACAGCTGTCCAAAAGACAATCATTGACACCTTGCACAAGGAGGGCAAGACACAAAAGGTGATTGCTAAAGAAGCTGGCTGTTCGCAGAGCTCTGTGTCCAAGCACATTAACAGACAGGCGAAGGGACGGAAAAAATGTGGTAGAAAAAAGTGTACAAGCTCTAGGGATAACCGCACCCTGCAGAGAATTGTGACGACAAACCCATTCAAAAATGTGGGGGAGATCCACAAAGAGTGGACTGCAGCTGGAGTCAGCGCTTCAAGAACCACCACGAGGAGACTCATGAAAGACATGGGATTCAGGTGTCGCATTCCGTGTGTCAAGCCACTCTTGAACAAGAAACAGCGCAAGAAGCGTCTCGCCTGGGCCAAGGACAAAAAGGACTGGACTGATGCTGAGTGGTCCAAAGTTATGTTTTCTGATGAAAGCAAGTTCTGCATTTCCTTTGGAAATCAAGGACCCAGAGTCTGGAGGAAGAGCGGAGAAGCACAGAATCCACGTTGCATGAGGTCCAGTGTAAAGTTTCCACCGTCAGTGATGGTGTGGGGTACCATGTCATCTGCCGGTGTTGGCCCACTCTGTTTCCTGAGGTCCAGGGTCAATGCAGCCGTCTACCAGGAAGTTTTAGAGCACTTCATGCTTCCTGCTGCTGACCAACTTTATGGGGATGCAGACTTCACCTTTCAACAGGACTTGGCACCTGCACACAGTGCCAAAACCACCAGCACCTGGTTCAAGGACCATGGTATCCCTGTCCTTGATTGGCCAGCAAACTCGCCTGACCTTAACCCCGTAGAAAATCTATGGGGTATTGTGAAGCGGAGGATGCAATACGCTAGACCCAACAATGCAGAGGAGCTGAAGACGACTATCAGAGCAACCTGGGCTCTCATAACACCTGAGCAGTGCCACAGACTGATCGAGTCCATGCCACGCCGCATTACTGCAGTTATTGAGGCAAAAGGAGCCCCGACTAAGTATTGAGTGCTATACATGCACATTTTTTTCATGTTCATTCTTTTCAGTTGGCCAACATTAGAGAAACAAACATTTTTTCATTGGCCTTTAGAATATTCTAATTTTCTGAGATACCAGATTTGATGTTTTCATTGGTTGTCACCTATAAATATCAAAATTAAACGTAATAAACATCGGAAATACATTGGTCTGTGTGCATTGCATGAATATAATGTACAAGTTTCACGTTTTGAATGGAATTACTGAAATATTTTCAACCTTTTGATGATATTCTAATTTACTGGCCAGCACCTGTATATAGTGACTCGTTGCATTCTCCCTCAGCCAAAAGTCCTCGCGTCATGCATTTAAGCTAAAATGCTAATGTTAACTTACCTTGCACTGGCTGTAGAGACATGGGTGATGGTCACGCAGATGTGCCATTAGATTCGAAGTGTTGCTGCCTTTTGCAGACACTTTTCCTGCACGTTCTGCAAACGGGATAGCAGTCTTCTATTAACTGTCCCTCAGCATTTTTCAGAAATCCAAAATATGCCCATACTTCCGATAAAGTCTTCTTTTAGGGCTGATGGATGTCCTGGGCGCTACCGTCTCCTCCTTCGGCCATTATTTCAGCTTCAAAGTTTTGGTGCCGTTGCAAACTAAAAAGTGCGTGTGCGCGCCGCGGGAACTTCAGCTGAAGCGACGGTGGCTGGCAATGGTCACCGCGCCGAAACCGCGGCCACGGTAAACCCACCGAGATAATTTAGTTTTTTAAAAACTGGACGGTTATTTTTATTGTTAACTTTTTTACCGGGGTTTACCGCTATACCGGTTACCGTGACAACCCTATTCAGAAGTGAATGCATGACCTAGAGGCAGTCTCATG